TATATAAATATATATATATATATAAATATATATATATGAAAATACATATGTATGTATATAAAGGGCAATAATGTGCTAAGCTTCTTGAGATCCCAGGGTAAAAACTGGAACTTCAGTACTCAAGTAGAAGTTGTTGTTTTGTTCGGGGTTTTTTTGTTTTGTTGGGGGTTTTTTTGTTTTGTTGGGGTTTTTTTGTTTTGGTTTTTTGTTTGTTTGTTTGTTTTTTTTACATAGGAGGGATTTTACCTAGGAGGGATATCCAGTGTTTGGTATAAATACGTTCTTTGTCAGAAAAACAGACTTTTGATACAAATCTGTGACCTTTGCCACTAAATTGCTCCTCTGAGAATTCAGCCCCCATTTCTCCCACAATAAAATTGCAGTTTGCTGTGTAAATTATCCATTAAATGCCTAGAAAGTTTTAAGTAAAGACTTGCATTTAAGGGACTTAAATGCTGCAATTTTAAAAATGTCCTGCATACCAATACAGAAGATATTCCCACTCGTGTGGTCAGTCACACACACACATGAACTTCCTGCTCTTAAAGGCTTGTGCTGAAATGTTTCAAATCTTACATTGATGAAAGCACAAACAAACTCCAGATCACTTTTCAAAAGAATTAATTGCAATCCCTATAGCAACTGGAAGCTCACTACTGAGCAAGAAGTGTCTTTTCAGGAGCAATTATCATTATCAGAAAAAGAAAAGAGAAAAACAATTATCATTATCAGAAAAAGAGAAGAACAGCAGCTTTGTCTTTCTGGGGTTTTTGTTTTTTAAGGAAATGGTTGTAGATTCTTGTCTTTGTTTCTTTTTCTCTTGTTTATGTCAGAGATCTAGAAATACTCTGCAAGAGTTGTTGAAGCTTGAACTACTGGAAAAGAACATTTGTCCTGACCAAACCAGCCTTTTTCTTTCTTCATTTCCATCCAGATCTTGCCTTGATAGGATTCATCTTCTCTCCCAGGTGTCATACATAAGAGGCTTAAAGAAAAACATTTAAAAAAAAAAAGGTTTTATTAGTCTCCCATAGTCTTTTCTTTAATAAACCCACAATATTTTTGGATTGGACTAGATGATCTTTTGAGGTCCCTTCCAATCCCCAACTTTCTGTGATTCTGTGTTTTTTTGGTAGGTTTGTTTTTTTTACCATGATGTTCTGTGGAGACTCATATTGGCTTTGAGCTTTATTTTACACCAGCAGGAAATTCTGTGCTTAGTTTAATCAGCAGAAATAAAGACAAAATAAAGGCAAATATAAAATATATCTGAATAAAAATCAGCAGAGATTTAAATATAATGGCCCAAGGGAACGTGGTGACGCTGTTAGGTGTCAGTGCTGGGGGCTGGAGCAGTACTTCAGTGTCCTTTAGTAATGAAGAACAAGAGGTGACACTTTATTTCCGTTACAGTTCAGGATATGACACTGTCGAATTGTTGGGAAAAAAAAAAAAGGAAAGGGAAACTCATCGATAGTGAGTAACTGTCCAATTTTGGTGAGCTTTTAGGAAAATATCACCCAAAATCTGCTCCATGGGATTCTTTTGGAAGTTAATAAAAGGCTAATTTAGTATTTGGAAGTAAAGAATTGCAGGTAAAAGGGAGGGAGATTTCTGATTTATTTTTTTTTTCCCCAGAAGTTTTCAGAAATATGGTTTTTTTCAGTGAGCAAAGAGGTAAATTGAGGGGTAGATGAGTAAGGGAATCGCCTACAGGAGGTTAAGGACGGATAAAATCAGGGAACTTCCAAAGCAAACGTGAAGGTTGGTGACTTTGCCAGCTTTAGCAGGAAGATGCAAGGATTGAATTGAGCTCTGGTCTGAAGTGAGGTGACCTTGAGGCACAGGGAGGGAACAAGGATGTGTAACAAGGGATTGGATCTGTCAAGGGAGGAAGCTGAGCGTGGAGCTCGGCGGGTTAAAGTTCACAAGATGGAGTGATGAAAACAAGTGTGAACTGGCAAGGAGCAGCCCGTGCTCAGAGGTGGCTTCCAGGACACATCAGGAAGGGGGAGATCTCTGTCAACTGAGAGGCAAGACAGTAGGACTCGAGTTGGCAGAGGTCAAACATGAATGAAAGGAGAGGACAGGGAGCCCTGGCCCCTGTCTGGGGGAAGCTGTGGTGGCCCATGGTCAATGGCTGCAGAGGGACCAAGGGGACCAGTGGGTGGGAGTGCTGGACCAGGACATGGCTGGGTGAGGGGAGAGGGGATCCTGCCCAACTGATGATTACAGTGAGGGTGGTGAGACACTGGCCCAGGTTGCCCAGAGAAGCTGTGGCTGCTCCTCCCTGGAAATGTTGAAGGCCAGGTTGGATGAGGCTTTGAGCAACCTGGTCTAGTGGAAGGTGTCCCTGCTGATGGCAGGGGGGTTGGAAATGGATGAGCTTTAAGATACTTTCCAACCCAAAAACCATTCAATTATTCTGTGATTAAACACAAAGTGATTTGGGGCAGAAGGTTATAGTGGGATTGTTCACTGTGAAGAAGTTGTGTGAAATTTCAGTGGAGGGACCATGGTACTGCATGGGTCTGCTCATCCTGGTCATCCCTCCTGACCTCCTTAACAGGAGGGCTTGGGGGCTTTGGTTTCACCTGGTGTTTGCTTTTAAAATTGTGTGTGTACATACAAACTAAGTCATGTCAGAGAATCACAGAATGGTTTGGGTTGGGAGGGACCTTTAAAGTTCATCTGGTCCAACCCCCCTGCAGTGAGCAGAAACATCTTCAACCAGCTCAGGCTGAAATGCATGCAATGATTTATTTATATTTTTTTCTGCTGTTATTTAAAGATGGACATTTTTTGTCTGAAAATAGATCTTTGGGCACGCTGGAATGGGGGGAGAGGTTTTTATGGTGTTTCATAGGGTGTTTGTGGACATTCCAGCACTTACTGTACAAATTAAGGTAACAGAAGGTTAAAGGAGAGCTGTTAGTGCCCAGCACAGGATGCCATGCCCTTTTCCTCTGTAAGGAAGAGCTGTAAGTCACTGGAACAGTGTAATTTATAATGGTCTTGCTCCCTCTCGTGGCTTTGGTGGGATATAAAACCGAAAATATTTGGTGATGGCAATGTTGGGAAGTGCAGAATTGTCAGAAATAACTGTTATCTAATTAGCATGTGGCAGCAGCCATGCAGAAAAGAGCTGAAAATTAAGAAAAGCTATTTAAAATTTCTTCTTCAACTAAATTATTATAGCTGGTCAAGTAGAATTTTCTTCCAAAGGTCTTTTCTAATATAATTTTGTTCTCATCATTTCTGAGCTGTTAAGAAGAAACTTTTTTATGTTAAAAACCTTGAGAGAGTCCAGCACAGAGCCACCACGATGATGGAGGGAGTGGAGCATCTCCCTGCTGAGGAAAGGCTGAGGGAGCTGGGGCTCTTTAGCTTGGAAAAGAGGAGACTGAGGGGTGACCTCATTAATGTTTATAAATATGTAAAGGGGGAATGTCAGGAGGATGGAGCCAGGCTCTTCTCAGTGATGCCCAATGGTAGGACAAGGGGCAATGGGTGGGAGCTGGAACACAGGAGGTTCTGCTTCAACTGGAGAAGAAACTTCTTTCCAGTGAGGGTGCCAGAGCCCTGGGACAGGCTGCCCAGGGAGGGTGTGGAGTCTCCTTCTCTGGAGACATTCAAGACCCGCCTGGACGCCTTCCTGTGTGATCTCATTGAGGTTCCTGCTCTGGCAGGGGGATTGGACTGGATGATCTTTCGAGGTTCCTTCCAATCCCCGACATTCTGTGATTCTGTGATTTTGTCGCTATCACTGTTAAAAAAAAGGGATTTTCTGTTTCCCAGTGAGTATTTCAGTCCAGTCTAAACAGCGTCAGTTCTACCTGTGTCATTGCTGGAGCAATTCCTGTCATTCAATTGCCCTTTTTTGTTGTTTTTGTTTATTTGTTTTTGTTTCCTTTTCCAGCGCTGGCGTGGGCCGCACGGGCACCTTCATCGTTATCGATGCCATGATGGACATGATGCACGCGGAACAGAAAGTTGATGTTTTTGAGTTTGTCTCAAGGATCCGGAATCAGCGTCCGCAGATGGTTCAGACTGACGTAAGTGAACTTTCATGGGCTGAAATTACAACTTTTTGTGGTCAAAGGAGAATATGCTTCTGTATTTTCACTCTGATACACATCCCAGGGCGTCTTTTTTTGTTTTCTGGGTAACTGGAACATGAATGAAGCCCAGCAGAAGGATGGTGTTGGGGAAGAAGATATTAGGGCTGTGGAGACCACTGTAAGGCACATTATCTTTAGGTATCATGTCCAGGTTTCCCCATGCATAAGAGAGTGGAATTTTAGAGAATATAAGTGACAGGCTGAGAGAGTTGGGGCTGTTCAGCCTGGAGAAGAGAAGGCTCTGGGGAGATCTTATAGTGGCCTCCCAGTACCTGAAGGGGCTACAAGAAAGCTGGGGAAGGACTTTTCATAAGGGCAGTTAATGACAGAACAAGGGGAAATGGGTTTAAACTGAAAGAGGGGAGGTTTAGATTAGATATTAGGAAGAAGTTCTTCACTGTGAGGGTGGTGAGACAGTGTCCCATGTTGGCCAGAGAAGCTGTGGCTGCTCCTCCCTGGAAGTGTTGAAGGCCAGGCTGGATGAGGCTTTGAGCAACCTGGTCTAGTGGAAGGTGTCCCTGCTGCTGGCAGGGGGGTTGGAACTGGATGAGTTTTAAGGTCCCTTCCAACCCAAAAGATTCTATGATTCTGTGATGTAACAAGAAAACAATTTGAGCTGAAGGTCTATTTTGATAATTAGTAGGTGGCCGAACAAATTAGATTTGATAGTTTCACGTCCTCGCTTTTCTATATGTTTATGTGACTGGTTTTTGTTGGTTCCAGATGCAATACTCCTTCATTTATCAAGCCTTACTTGAATACTACCTCTACGGTGACACAGAGCTAGACGTGTCATCCTTAGAAAAACATCTGCAGACGTCACACAACGCAGCACCAAACCTTGTCAAAATAGGGCTCGAAGAAGAATTTAAAGTAAGTATGAAAGTTCTTTGCTGTAGGATTTCTAAGTGTGGAAACATTTAAGCCAGAAAGATACTTCAAAAGCAGGAAGAGTATCACAGAATGGTGGGGGTTGGAAGGGACCCCAGGAGATCATCCAGTCCAACTCCCCTGATAAAGCAGGTTCCCTACTTTGCACAGGAAAGTGTCCAGGTGGGTTTGAACATCTCCAGAGATGGAGACTCCACACCCTCTCTGGGCAGCCTGTCCCAGGGCTCTGGCACCCTCACAGTGAAGAAGTTTTTTCCTTTTCCACTTATAAAATCCACCCGACACTTATTTGAGCAGCCTCAGATGAAACTCACAAAAGTCAATCTGAACATTCGGGATCTGAGATGCCAGCTTGTGCCCATTGCCCCTTGTCCTGTCACTGGGGACCACCGAGAAGAGCCCGGCCCCATCCATTTGGCCCCCACATTTCAGATCTTTATAGACATTGATCAGATCCCCTCTCAGGCTGCTCTTCTCCAGGCTGAACAGTCCCAGCTCTCTCAGCCTCTCCTCACATGGGAGATGCTGCAGGCCCTTCATCATCTTTGTAGCCTCCGCTGGACCCTCTCCAGAAGATCCCTGTCTCTCGAACTGGGGAGCCCAGAACTGGACACAACACTCCAGATGCACCTTAAAATGTCCATCAGAACAGAACAACTTGTTTTATTTTGATTTTGCTGTGAGTGGATCCTGCGGAGTCGGTGAATGGGGCTGTTGTTGAACATCCTGTTCTGCCACTGCTCGTTCAAAGCTACGTCGTCTGACGGACCATTTCCTCTGTGCTTGCTGTTTGTTTATGAAAGAAAAAGGGAATTATTCTGTTGGTCTGGTACTAGGTGCCAGATCAGATAATGCTGGAAGAGAGGGTGCTGGATGACGTGCACCTGATTTGCATCTCAGCGGGTTTGTTAACTCAGTCATGACTGATGGCAGAGAGGATTGCAGAGAGTTTCCACATCTTGTGTTGAATATCCAGACCTATCAGAGGGGGAAAAAAAAGAAGCAAAGCATTTCTGTTTAGTGGAGGAACCCCAAATGCAAAAAGCAATCATTGTGGTCATTGTTTAAAATAGACTTTATTGTCCTGAGAGAATAGTTAGAACTTTTCTATGATTTCTGCTAGGCTAAAATATTTATTCTACATATAGGTCCAAAGCATTAAATGATATTTAGGTGTCAAGTGGAGTTCTCTCTTTCCTTTAAAGGATTCATTTAATCAGAAATTGGGAACTGGGAAAAGAAAATGATGTAAAAATAAGTCTGATGATAGAGCAACAAGTTAAAAAAGCAAAAATATTGGTCTGTCTGAGGGAAGTAAGTGAAAACATTGAATATTCGCCTTTTTTCTAGAATTCCTAAGTTTGTTTTTGCTGCCCACTGTGTGAGACTGCATTGCAGTGCAGAGAGCAACGTTGAGTTCTGCCATGGATTTTGAAAAGCATTTTGATGGCCCAGGAGCACTGAGCCCACCTAAAACAAGAGCAGAGCTATAACTGGTACGAGAGGCTCTGACATAAAGTCTGTTGAACCCAGTATGACACAGGAGCTGAAAAGTGGTTTCTCAGAGGCTGGAGTTTCTTTTTAATAGTTTGTTGCCAGTACTAAAAGACTTTACTGGAATTGAGAGATGATCCTGAATCTCAGTACCTGGCAAATACACCAAAGTGCCTGAAAATCTACTTGTAGTTTGAAAGTTAAATTAATTTTAATGTAAATTGAATTTTTATTAAATAGCTGCTGAAACTGTGTAACTCTGATCGTTATCTGGTAATTCCCACCCCAGCAGAAGCAGTTTATTATAGTTGTGTTATCTGGCACGATCTTACAGGTGTGTAATCTCTACTATAAAAAAAATTGTTGGGGCAAGAGCAGTGTTTGTCTTCTGTGTCCTGGGAATGCTGTCAGGACACACTGAATAAATACCAGGGGTATCTACAGTCCCCTCACTGGCTAAAATTGAAAATACACAAAGCCAAGGTGCAGGATTTGGTGCAGGAATCCATAAACTCTTGCAAACTTGTTATGCCTCAGGGAAAGCACAGTCCAGGACTAAAGAACCAGGGTTTTAATTCTCTGAAGAGGATTGTAATAATAATAATATGAACACATATGAATTCAGTTTGTGTTTTGACCATAAAAGAAGTGAAGTCTAAAAAAGAGAATTTTTTTTCAGCACTTGAGAACAACGTGGAAATGAAAAGCCTGTTCCAGCAGTTGTGTTTGGCTTATGTACAGTCTAGAAAAGAAAAAAAAATAAAATTAATTTGATAAAATGGTATACAGACCTTTTAATCAAAAGTTATTTTCAAAAATGTCTGATTTTATGAAGCAGAGTTTCCAATGGTCACATTTAAGAAAAACAGAAAGGGAATGGATACTGTTGTGGTTCTGAAAGCCACACTCAGTCCAAAAGCATCTTCAAAACCAAAACTAACAAACAGACCCAAAATGTTAAAATCTGCTGTCATTTTTCAGCCCTTAAATGTTATTGATAGGCCTTGGGGGTATGTTCAGATTCAGATTTATCAGTAGGAAAAAATTCCATGACTATTATTCATAATTAATTTTATAGACAGGACAATGAAGTGACTTTTGTAATGAATCAGTCTCTCTTTGACTGTATTACTGGTTTGTACCCAATAAAGACACTTAGGAACCCTCTGAGTGTGGGATACAGTGAGCAAGAGCTGCTTCTGTTCCACTGAGTTCTCATCCTCGTCTGTGTGTTTCATTACAGAAGTTAACAAACGTTCGAATCATGAAGGAAAACATGAGGACTGGCAATCTTCCAGCAAATATGAAGAAAGCTCGAGTCATCCAGATTATCCCATGTAAGAGATCAGCTTTTTATAGAGAGAAATGAGTGCTGTAAAAAAAAAAACCACAACAAACTTCTTTGCCTGTAAAATTCAGATGCTTTCCGAAGCTGTTGCAGTGTCCAAAGTGGTAGTTTTTGGTTTTGCTTCATTTTTAGCTAGAACACATTTTTTGGGGTATTCCCATTAACCTTCCCTTTGGTTTTGTGGATACAAACAGCACTGTCCTCTCTTAGAAAGTGTATTACTCTTACAAAGTGTAATGTCCTTATAAAGTGTCTGCAAACAGTTTAATGAATTATTTTTATTTCCTCAGTGTAAAATGTATTATGATCAAATATTGTTTTCAGAGCTGAATCAAATAATTCAGCAGTTTCACCTTTTCAACCAGCATATTTTCTGTGTGATTCTTTGCACAGTCTGGAGCAGCACTGTGATGTCTGCACCTGAAAATGAACATTTCAGACAGAATCACACAAAATCACCTCGATTGGAAAAGCCCTTTAAGCTCATCGAGTCCAACCATGAACCCAACACTGACAAGTCCCCGACTAACCCATGTCCCTCAGCACTATGTCTACACGACTCTTCAATCCCTCCAGGGATGGGGACTCCACCACTGCCCTGGGCAACCCCTTCCAATGCCTCAGAACCCTTGCAGCAAAGAAATTCTTCCTCACATCCCATCTCAACTGCCCTGGCCACAACTGGAGCCCATTTCCTCTTGTCCTGTCCCTTGTTCCTTGGTTGAACAGACCAACCCCCACCTCTCTCCACCCTCCTTTCAGGGACTTGGACAGAGCCAGAAGGTCTCCCCTCAGCCTCCTTTTCTCCAGGCTCCACAACCTTGCTTGCCATAACCTGTGTGAATGGAAAAACAACAGCAGAAAAACTGTCACCTCCCTCCCCACTCTTACTAAATCCTGGATAAGAACTTTTGAGACACTCTTTGGCTTTCAGATAAAAGATGTTGTTGGTTTTGTTCTCTCACAAACATAATCATGGGGCAATCAATGTACAGTTAACAAAAGTAAGACTAGACTTTCTTTTTTCCCCCCCCAGATGATTTTAATAGAGTGATTCTGTCGATGAAGAGAGGACAAGAGTACACAGACTACATCAATGCCTCCTTCATAGATGTACGTATTAAAAAAATCTTCATGTATTTAAATTGCAAGTCAAATAATTTGCTTTTGCCAATAAGTCTTTAAAGTTAAAGAGGCACAATCAACTTGGCTTATGAAGAACGTGGGGTTGGCTTATATATTCCAGATAGATTTCTTATTGGGTGTTTTCAGTTTTCTTACCAATGGCTGTGTCATTTAAATATTCTTAGATTTTTAAGCTAAGGTTTTTTATTAAATTCTAACAGGCAGTGAATAAAAAATTCAGCTGTACAACTAATATCCAACTGTTCTGTTATCTGCATTCAGGTTAATGGATACAAATATGTGCTCTTGTAACTTAAAAAGGAAAAAAAACAATCCATATTTAGCATGGGGAAAGGCTGTCCTGGTGTTTGGGAGCCAGGGTTTATCTGGGCAGATCTGTGGTAAATCCTAATTTTGTTCCCAGCTTCTTGTTGGAACTTTGGCAACACCTTCCAGTGTATCTTATTTTGATTTAAATATGGTAATTAATTATATCCTTAAGCAGTAAAACCCTATTAGTGATTGAGGACTGGATCCTCCAGCTAGGAAGCTCACAGCGGTACGTAAATAGAACTGCGGCTCAAAAGTTGAGTTGACAGCTGCAGCTCTTGGGTTTACTGGAGAATTATGATAATTGTGAAATCCTTTCAGCTACCTGTTACTGCAGAATTTCATCCCTTCAGCCATGACTGTAAAAAGTCATAAAACACCACTCAGGATTGGGAATTTGAGGGATTTTTTCCTTCATTTCTAGCAATGAGCAGGAATTGGGTGGGCTCAGTGTCACCAGTAACAGCAGGGCTCATGGGAAGAGCTGGTTTAAGTAGCCAGCTCCTCTCCAACCATCACCTTGTGTCACGAGATAAAGGTGTCCTGGTCTTTCTCCACAGGGTTATCGCCAGAAGGATTATTTCATTGCCACCCAGGGACCACTTCCACACACGGTGGAGGATTTCTGGAGGATGGTGTGGGAGTGGAAGTGCCACACCATCGTTATGCTCACAGAGGTTCAAGAGAGGGAGCAGGTATGTGTCCTACAGCTGCCAGGTATGTGTCCTACAGCTGCCAGGTCCAGAGCAAAGCTGCTGAGGGGAGGCTGAGGGGAGACCTTCTGGCTCTGTCCAACTCCCTGCAAGGAGGGTGGAGAGAGGTGGGGGTGGGTCTGTCCAACCAAGGAACAAGGGACAGGACAAGAGGAAATGGGCTCCAGTTGTGCCCAGGGCAGTTGAGATGGGATGTGAGGAAGAATTTCTTCACCCAAAGGGTTGTCAGGCATTGGAACAGGCTGCCCAAGGAGGTGGTGGGGTCACTGTCCCTGGTGGGATTTAACAGAGGGGTAAACAAGGTGCTGAGGGACATGGTTTAGAGGTGGAATTGGTCATGTTGGGTTTATGGTTGGACTCGATGATCTTAAAGGTCTTTTCCAACCACTACGATGCTGTTGCTGTTAACACCTCTAAAATATTATTATTAATATTCCAGAACCTGTGTTGCCTCCAAATTCTAGGGATACCAGATTTTTTTTGCCTTTCCTCAAATGAGCACTTGCTGCTCTCTTTGGTGGGGGCTGACGTTGCTGCTTTTGAATTGTCAGAAAACCCACCAAAACTACTGAAAATTATGGTTTGTGAAAGGGCCCCGTTCACATTAAAAACACCAAATGTGTAGGGATGCCTGAGGTTGGGATTTGGGAACAGCTGGACAAAGCTTTTGTGAAAACTTCCCTCCCTCTTCTGCCAGTATAAGCTCCAGTGGCTTATTCCAAACCTCTCCATCATTAATTAATGAGAATAATTACTTATTTTATTATAATCTGTTTTAAAGCACTATTTATCATCTATGACTCCTAAACCTTTTTCATTTTCATGGTTTATATTAGAGAATTATTCTATTACTGTGTTCTTGATTCTTAGCCTTTTCATTACCAAGTGTTTAGAAAACATTACTGTCTGTCACCTCCGAGAGCAGAGATTCATGCTAACGTAGATAACTGGAAAAAAACTTTCAAGGAATGTTGACAATTTTCTCTCAATTTTGCAGGAAAAATGCTGCCAGTACTGGCCATCAGAGGGCTCTGTAACTCACGGAGAGATAACTGTAGAAATAAAGAATGACAGCCTGATAGATGCCATAAGCGTAAGGGACTTCATCATTACCTACAATCAGGTAATGTTTTTAAATTAAAAGGCTATTCTTATTTTTATTTTTATCTATTTTTTTATTTTTATTTTTTATTATTTATTTTTATTTTTT